CTTTTTTTTTTTTTTTTGCAGAACTGAGGGGGAAAAAAAAAAGCGAGCGTGAGCCGCCGCCTGCAGTGGAGCGTGCTCGGCCTCCAGAGGCAGTCGTCTCCAACTTTTCCTCTGCCGCCCCAACTCCGCGCGCCTCGAACTTCGGCTCTGCGGGAGCCCAAATTTGCCTGCCGCGCAACTCCACTCTAATGTGCACCCCAAAGCCTCTGGCAACTGTTTGCAGCTTGAGGCCACGCTCCCGAAGCTCAGGCCTGCCCGCTCCCCGGGCCTGGGCCCAGTTGGGACAGGAGACACCGGGTGCCTGGGAGCACCCCGAGAGAGAGGGCGGAGCTCTCCTGCGCCCCGGGGCAGTGGGGCAGGGAGCTCCCGCGCCCGGAACGTTGAGAGCTAGGCTTGCGAATGTCGCAGGGGGGCACTCGCGAGAGACGGACAGGAAGAGGGCCAAGGGGGACGCCAGAACCCGGGACCACAGCACGGAAACGGCCCGGGGCTGAGCTGCAGTCAGATCCGGGGATGGAGGGAGCCGGAGAAGAGGAGTGAGGTGGCCTGGGAGGCATGCCCTGCTGCCCTCCTCGGAGGCTGGCAGGCTGCTGTAGCAGTGGAAGATCAGGCCACCCATAAAGGGAAGGGGTCAGGAGGTCGGGCCCGGGCCTTAGCAGGCTCAGACAAGGCCCAAGAAGGGAGCACCAGGCGCCCTGGAGTTCAGGGCCCAAGCCTGGCCCAGGTTGTCCAAAGGGGCCTAGACTAGACCAGGCCTCTAGTGAGGAAACTGAGTTAGAGCCAGGCCTCAGGGCACGGCCTAGCCTGTGAGCCAAGTTAGGAGTAGAGGGCCAAGATCCTTGGGGGTCTCAGAGACTAAGGGGTTAGGGGCTTCAGGGCCTCCCAGTCCAGAGCCGGATTGGCGAGTTGGACGCTTGTAGATCCAAGCTTGGATTGGGGTGGGGTCCCTGGGAGGTTGGCTAGCTACGCAAGGATTGGGGGGATCTAAGTGCTTAGAGATCGAAGGCAGGTCTTGGGTAGGGGGAATCAGACAATTGGAAAGCCTAGCTGTTATTTGAGGAGGGGTCTTCGCTCGCTGGCGAAGCGCAAAGCCGCATCTCTTTGGCTTGAGGCCTTGTCAAGAGAGGCTTTTGTGAAGGGTGGGCCGGCTAGGCCAGACTAAGAAAGAAAGTGAATAAACCAGGAATATAAGTGGGCGGGGGTCCCCTGAGAGGGGGGTCACAAAGGGTGAGACATGGCCACCAGGCGTTTAACGGACGCTTTCTTGTTGTTGCGGAATAATTCCATCCAAAACCGGCAGCTGTTAGCCGAGCAAGTGAGTAGTCACACCACCTCCAGCCCTCTGCATTCACGTAGCATTGCTGCGGTGAGTCTCCCGGCGGCCTCTCCGACACACGCACTGTGTGCACTGCGGCTCTGCCTGTCTGTCTGTCTCTGTCTGTCTCTCTGTTTAAAAAAAGATCAGAATAATACGGAAATGCACGGCCTCTCGGCTAGGTCCGGGGGCATCTATAACCCTGGATGGGGGGAAAAAAAACTCTCAGGCCCCCGCTGCTCCCACCTCTGCCTTCCTCTCCTCACTTCCGCAACCCTCCCCGTTCCTTCCTCACCCCCCTTGGCGTCACTGCACGACCGGCCGCCTCCAATTTACATATGTTTTAACACTAAGATTTGGAAGCGTCCGGCCTTTCTGAAGCCTTTTTGTTTCGTTTGTTTTATGCCTCCTCCCCCCCAACCCCCCCGCCCCATTCTGAGCCTCACTTTGGTTCTAGTAACCGGGATGCAGGATCGCAGACCCAAATCCTTGCAAATGAACGACATCCTCCCCCAACTATGGAAGGAGTCGGGGTTTTTGTGGGGGCTTTTTTTTTTTTTT